CAGCTGCTCCTTGGAAACCTTACAGGGTCATTATGAGTTGAAACTGATTCAACGGCACTTAACAACAACAAGGAGACAATGAGACAAACAAACCAACAACCACCAAAGCAGAACATAGTCAGTGTTGGCGAGAAGGTGGAGGGATTGGAACCCCTATTCATTGCTGTATGAGGGTGTAGTCACTGTGGGTAACACTGGGAAACAGTTTGGTGTTTCCTGAAAAACAAAGGAATTGCCATTATTGTTGATGTTATTTGCTGACAGGTTGGCTTTGCATGAAGCGTTGTCCATTCTCACAATAGTTTGCAAGTTTGGGCCCATTGGTGCAGTTACCTTACCCATCCATCTCACAGAAGGTTCACCTCTTTTCTGATGACCCTCTACTATACCAAAGAGAATTATCACATGACGCAACAATTCCGTTTCTAGGAATACACCCAAGAGAAATGAAACCACATATGTACGCAGAAACTTCGGTACCAATGCTTGCTGTTGTTGTTAAGTGACCTCGAGTCAGTTCAAACCAAAGTGACTCCTTGTACAACCGAACGAAACACTGCCCGGGCCTGCGTCATCCTCACAATTATCACTGTGCTTGAGCCTGTAGTTGCTGCCACTGTGCCAATCCATCTCTTTGTGGGTCTCCTCCTTTTTCACGGACCCTCCACTTGACCAATCATGACCTTCTCCAGGGACTGGTCCCTCCTGATAAAACGTTCAAAGTATGAGAGATGAAATCTGGCCATCTTGGCTTCTAAAGAGCATTCTGGTTGTACTTTTTCTAACACAGAACTGTTTGTTCCTTTGGTACCTTTAATATTTTTCTCTAACACCATAACTCAAATGCATCCATTCTTCTAAGGTCTTCCTTATTCATTGTTCAACTTTCACACACATATGAGGTTATTGAAAATACCATGGCTTGGTATTTTGGGGTAAGGGTCAGGTGCACCTTAGTCCTCAAACTCACATCTTTGCTCTTCAACACTTTAAAGAGGTCTTTGGGTCATTAGGCAGCAGATTTGCCTAATGCAAAATGTCATTTGTTTTCTTGACTACTGCTTCTATGAATGTTGATGGTGGATCCAAGCAAAATGAAGTCTTTGACAACTTCAATCTTTTCTCCATTTATTTTGATGTTATGTATTGCTCCAGTGATGAGAATTTTTCTTTTCTTTACATTGAGGTGCAACCTACCCTGAAGGCTGTGGTATTTGATCTTACATTAGCATTATTCTTAATGACCAAATGGCATATACTGTAATGGTTTCTAGCAATGGTATATGCTATAAACAACTCAAGTGTTTTTTCAATGGATGAATGGATAAATAAATTGTGGTACATACTTGCAATGGAATATTATTCAGCCATAAGAAGACAGGAGTACTGACACCTGCTGCAATTTGGCTAACCCTCAAACACATTATGCTAAATGGTAGAAAATAGACAACAAAAGTCACATACTGTATGATTCCACTTGTATGAAACATCTCAACTAGGTCAGGAGCCCTGGTGGAACTGTTGGCTAGGCGTTAGACTGCTAACCACAGAGTTGGAGATTGAAGCCCACCAGCCACTCTACTGGGAAAAGATGAGCCTATCTGTTCCTGTAAAGATTTAGTCTCAGGAACCTTGTATAGGGATCTTGGTGTATAGGGATAGTGTTGTAAGGTAAGCACTAGATCACAAGGTCAGTTTGAACCATGAAGTCAGTGGTTCTAACCCACCAGCTGCTCCTTGGGAATCTATACAGGGTCGCTATGAGTCAGAACAGGCTCAATGACACTGAACAGTAACAGAAGTTGGGATTGACTTGCTGGCAGTGGGCTTGGGTTTTGGGTCCAGAATAGGTAAACCCATGGAGAGAGAAAGCAGATTAGTAGTTATCAGGGAGTGGGTGGGGGTGGGGGGCAGGGGACAGATTGCTTAAGCACAGGGTGTCCTTGAGTGATGAAAATTGTGACATTGGAACAAGGTGGTTGTTGCACAATATTATAAATACATGAAATGCCATTGAATTGTTCTCTTTGAAATGGTTAATTGTATGTTGTGTGCATTCAACCTTGATAATAATGATCATGAGGAAACATAACTATGAGAATAAATATTCATATAGAGAGGAATTCATAGGGGAACGCAAGACCACAATTAAAAAGTAATGAGTTCTAGTGCTGGGTGGTGGGGTTCTGGTGTGAGACCTTAGGATAAGCACTGGACTGCTAAATGAAAAGTTGGCAGTTCAAACCCACCAGTTGCTCCTCAGAAACCCTGAATAGGGTCGCTTTGAGTTGGAACCAATTCAAGGGCACTTAACGAGAACAAACAATGCTGGGTGTCAAAAACACTTAACCACTCAATTACAAGTCGAAAGGTTGGTGGTTCAAACCCACTCAGCAATGCTTCAGAAGACAGGCTTGGTAATCTGCTTCTAGATGTTCACAGTGTTGAAAAACAACAACAACAACAACAACACAGCCTGTTGAGCAATTCTACTCTGCACACATGAAGTCACGAGGAGTCAGAAGGAATTGGACTGAAATTTAAAAATATTGAGGATGGTAAAATGGTGTCTCATGTGCTTCAGACGTGTCAGAGGGACTAATTTCTGCAGAAGGACATCGTGCTTGGTAAAGTGGAGGGTCATGTTCAACAAGAGGGATTGGCACAGTGGCAGTACCAGCAGGCTCAAACACAATGACCATTGTGAGGCTGGTGCAGAACCAGGCAGGGTTTCGTTCTGTTGTGTATGGGGTGCCATAAGTTGGTACTGACTCGATGGCACCTAACAACAACAACCTTAGCAACATGGCTTAACAGGTGCAGAGTTTCTGTCGGAGGTGATGAAAAGTTTTGGAAATATACAGTGATGATGGTTTAATAACATTGTGGAAGTCATTAGTGCCTCTGAACTGTATGTTAAAAAATGTCTAAAATGGCAGATTTTAAGAATCCAGGAATGGCACTGTAGGACAAATCGACTGTAAGGTCGGTTTGAACCGCAAGGTCAGCAGTTCAAAATCACCAGCTGCTTCTCGGAAACGCTACACAGGGTCGCAATGAGTCTGTATCAACTCAACAGCACTTAGCAACAAAGCATATACTTTATCACACACAAAAAAATGAGTCCCCTCTCCCCCCAAACTCCTGGAATTTAAGTTGTCCTATTACCAGAAGTGAATCCATTCCTGAAACCTCAGCTTCTCACTTCCTTTAGTCCCACCTTGCCACTTCTCCAAGTCTCACTTCCTCTTTAAAGACAATTACTGACTTTGTTCATCAAAAACATTTAGAGGTTCAGAGATTTTTTTCATGGATTGAAGTGTGTCCCGTCAAAAACAGATGTTACGTTCTGACCCCCATTACCTGTGAATATGACTTTGTTTGGAAATAGAGTCTTTGAAGATGTTATGGGATGCTATGCAACACTGAAGAATAATGATGAATTTATGAAACACCTCAAAACGTGAATGAATCTGGGGGACATTATGCTGAGGGAGATAGATCAATCAAAGGGTCAAATACAGTATGAGATGAGTATTATAAAAAGTCTCTAAGAGGCTATTACTCTAAAATATGGACTCCTGGTGTGGTGGTGTAGAGTCAGCACTGCACTGTGAGCCACAAAGTCCACAGTTCAAACCCACCAGCTGCTCCTTGGAAACCCTATGTTGTTATTAAGTGCCGTCAAGTCAGATCCGACTCATAGCGACTCTTTATAGGGTTTCCAAGGAGCAGCTGGTGAGCTTGAACTACAGATGCTGCGGTTCAAACTGACCTTGCAGTTCAGCGCATTAACCCATAGCACCACACCAAGACTCCTGGAAACCCTATACAGGGTTGCTATGTGTCGGAACTGACTCGAAGGCACTTAACAACAACAACAACACTAAAAGAAACATTCCTTGATGCTCCCCTCCTCCTTTGATGGAGTAGTGGCAGTAGTGGTTGTTAGTTCCTGTGGGGTTGATTCCGATTCATGGGACCCCATGTGTGCAAAGTAGGGCTGCTTCATAGGGTTTCATGTCTGTGACTTTTTGGAAGCAGATTGTCAGGCTGGTCTGCCAAAGTGTCTTTGACTGAGTTTGAACTGCCAACCTTTGGGCTAGTAGCCAAGTACTTAATGGATTGCACCATTCAGGGACTCTTACTGGAGTAGTAGCTGTTGTTGTTGTTATTAAGTGCTGTCAAGTCGGTTCAGACTCATAGCGACCCTGTATAGGGTTTCCAAGGCCCTAAGTCAATGTGTGGTGTCGTTATGAAAGAGAAGCAATGTGGCCACAAGACACAGAGAGAAGACAGCTATGTGGAGACAGGGGTAGCGATTGGAGTAATGTATCTACAAGCCAAGGAATGCCAAAGATAGCCAGGAGCCACCAGAAGCTGAGAGAGGCAAGGAAGGATCAATGCTCACCAAACTAGGATGTAGAATATTGTCCATCGACCTTGGTGTCCCCTGAGACCATGGTCCTGAGCCTCCAGGTCCAATGACTCATCCCGTCAAGGTGTTTGGTAATGTCTAAGAAGTTTCCATAAACTTGCTTTCTGTATGCCCTACCACATTCGTGATGTATTTGCAGCAAAGGTGAATGTTGTTGTTGTTAAGTGCCAGGATCCACAGGGGTGGGGACACAGAAGAGTATGACACAGGACCTGATCCACCACCTGTCTGTGATTGCTTGCTGTGGCTATGAAGCCATGTCATTGTTACTTTAACTGTAAGTAGGGTCACCTCTGGCGGACAAGTTTAGCAGAACTTTCAGACTAAGACAAGTTGGGGAGAAAGAGCAGACAATCTTCTTTGGAAAGTTAGTCAATAAAAACCCTATGAATCACAGAATATTATCTGAGATTTTTGACTCTCTTACTTTGACGTGGTATCAGAAAGGACTGATCTTGGAGAACGATAGCATGTTTGGTAAACTGGAGGGCCAGAGAAGGTGAGGGAAGCCCTTAATAAGGTGAATTAACACAATGGCTGCAGCAATATTATACAGACTCACCAAACCATCCGTCACGAAGATGGTCATGAAGATGGTCACGAAGATGGTCACGAAGATGAGCGAAGGCCTATCACACATAAAATCACACGGAACTAGAGTGATTCAAAGAGAAACACAAGGAAATGATGGCAGATTGGGGAGGAATCAGGAACATAAACAGCTGAAGGCATTGTGTTCACACTGGGGATCGAGAATATCCAGTGTAGTATTCATATCTCCTGGAGTCCTGGTGTGGCGCTGGGGCTAATGCATCAGACTGCAGTGTCACCAGCTCCCCAGCTGCTCCCTGGAAACCCTACACAGGGTCGCTATGGGTTCAAATCAGCTCAACGGCACTTCACAACAACAATTCATATATCCACCGACAAGGACTTGGGGTTGGAGAAATGAACTCCTCAGCTATCAAGGCATGACCTTGTATTTTGAGGCTGAGAAACTGATTTCCAGTTGCCATTTATCACTGATTTTAATGTCATTTGGAAAGTGTAGGATGAACAATAGCTGGAAGTTGAAAAGTTGACAGCATCCTTTTGGCAGCAATAAAACCCCGTGCCCCCCCCCAACTCCGAGGCCCCCACTGCCATTGAGCTGTTTCCAACTCATAGCGACCCTAAATGATAGAGTAGAATTACTCCATCAAGCTTCCAAGGCTGAAATGGTTACGGAAGCCAACCGCCATGTTTCGCCTGTGAAGCTGGTGGTGGTTCAAACCACTGACCTTTCTGTTAGCCGAGCAACTAACTGCTGTGCCACCAGTGACATGCTTAAGTAATTATGTAAATACCCTTTGAAGAATTAAGAATAGTTAGGGGTTAATAAAAACTTGGTGCAAATATATAAGGACTCAACTACCAGTAGGAAGATGGGTGTGTGAACCCACTTAGAAGAGGCCAGGTAGACAGGCTTGGTGATCGGTTTCTGGAAGGGCACAGCCTCAAAAACTCTATGGAACAGTTCTACTCGGCACACAAGGGGTTGCTGTGAGTCAGAATCCACTCAGCAACACAGGGAACTTTGCTACCTTTGAATTTCTAGATAACTCAAATTAAGTATTCTTGGAAGTTGTCAAAGACTTCATTTTGCTTGGATCCACAATTAGCACTCATGGGAGCAGCAGTCAAGAAATCAAATAACGGAGTATTTCATTAAGCAAATCTGCTGCACATGACCTCTTCAAAGTGTTAAAGAGCAAAGTAGTCACTTTGAGGATTAAGGTGCACCTGTCCCAAGCTATGGTATTTTCAATAGCTTCCTAGGCATGTGAACGTTGGACCACGAATAAGGAAGACTGTAGCAGAATCTGTGCATTTGAATTATGGTGTTGAAGAGAAATATTGAAAGTATAGTAATGGACTACCAGAAGAACAAACAAGTCTGTCTTAGAAGAAGTACAACTAGAATGCTCCTTAGAAGCAAGAATGGTGGGATTTCATCTCACATATTTTGGACATGTTGTCAGGAAGGACCAGTCCCTGGAGGAGGACATCATGCTTGGTAAAGTGGAGGGTCAGCGAAAAGAGAGGAAGACCCCCAACATGTTGGATGGACATAGTGGAAACAACAATGAACTCACACATACGATTGTGAGGCTGGTGTAGGACGGGGCACGGTTTTGTATTGTGCATAAGGTCACTATGAGTCAGAACCAACTTGATGGCACCAAACAACAACAGGTTTCAATTATTTTCAGTGAGGTTAGATTTCTGCTGGATGATTTGTCCCCAGATTTGTTGTTAAAGAATTTCTTCACAATTACTACCTGTAAGTATCCCTTGTATTGACTGGAAATTTTAGTAATGACTACCTTGGTGTGGTGCTGACTTCCAGCTAAGAGACTGGGAAAAGCACACCCATTCTTGCCTCATGCAATGCCAGAGCTTGTTCTACTGGAAAGATCCAGTGTTTCCCTGAAGTGGGCTAATCGCCAAATGCTCCGAACCAACTCCCAGTTTGCACTTGGGTGTTGTAACATCTGCAGGTGGTGCCAAGAAGTAAGGTGTGCCACTGCCAAGTGCTGGAGAAGTATGTATTGATGAAGACAGGAATGGAGTTTCAAAAACGCTAATGAGCATAGTCATGGTTCTCCTTTATTTATTTCAAAAAATATTCACTGAAAACCTATCACTGACAAAACATTTTCCAGGGGATGATGGTTTATGGTCATTTAAAGTGTTCTCAGTCAGTCCAAACAGGAGATTGACTACATAGTCCAAGAGGGATCTGGGTGATTCTTTGAAGCAAGAGACTATATTCATTTCTTTGCTTCCCTATTAAATCCAGTGCCATTGTATCAAATCCCACTCAGAGTGACCCTCCAGAAGAGAGTAGATCTGTGCCTTAGGAGTCCAAGGTTGCCATCTTTACAGAAATAGACAGTCCTATCTCTCCCTCCTGGAGTGGCTGGTGGGTTAACACCACTGTCAACAACTGGACCACCATGGTCCCTTTTTTGCTTGGGTATTAAAGCCAAACCCAAACTCATGGCTCTCAAGTCACTTACAACTTTCAGTTGCCTCCATTGTTGTTGTCAGGTGCTGTCTAATCGGTTCTGACTCCTAGTGACCTTCTATAGGGTTTCTAAGGAATTACTGGTGGGTTGGAACTGCCAGTGCAGTACTTACCTTACAGCCAGCACCACACAAGGACAGACTAAAACTACCTCATGGGGTTTCCAAGACTGTTATATCTTTTTCTTGCAGGACTATTGATGGGCTCAAATCACTGACCTTTTAGTCACAAGCCAAGTGCTTAGACCACTGTGCCACCAGGACTCTATGCTCACTATTAGGTAAGGTAAACAGCACTAGATTGCTCACCTAAATGTAGGCAGTTCAAACCCATCACCTGCAACACAGGAGAAAGATGTGGCCATCTGCTTCTGTAAACATGTACAACCTTGGGAACCCTAGGGGACAGTTCCACTCTGTCCTAGACGGTTGCTAAAAAGTTGGAATCCACTTGATGGCAGGGGCTTTGGTTTGGGTTTTAGGAATTCCATTACATGTATAAGGCATTGTACCTCAATGTAAAGAAAGCAAAAATCCTCACCATGGAACCAATAAATGACATCAGGAGAAATGGAGAAAAGATAGAAGTTGTCCAAGACTGCATTTTGCTTGGATTAACCATCAATACTCTTGGAAGTAGTGGTAAAAAAATCCAATGATGTATTCCATTAGGCAAATCTGTTGCAAAAAACCTCTTCAAAGTGTTCGAGAGCAAAGATATCAGTTTGAGCACTAAGGTGCACCTGACCTAAACCATGATCATATTAATAAACCTCATTATATGTGAAAGTTGGACAACGGATCAAGAAGACCATAGAAAAATTGATGCAGTTGAGTTATGGTGTTGGGAGAGAATATTAAAAGTACCATGGAGTTCAAAAAGAGCAAGCACATACATCTGTGCTAGAAATACAGCCAGAATGCTCCTTAGAAGCCAGGATCGTGGGACTTTGTGTCTCATACTTTGGACATATCATCAGGAGGGACCAATCCCTGGAGAAGGACATCATGCTTGCTAAAGTGAAGCATCATCAAAAAAGAGGAAGACCACCAAGGAGATGGATTGGCACAGTGGCAGCAGCAATGTGTTCAAGCGTAGCAATGATTATGAGTTTGGTACAATACCAGGCAGTGTTTCATTCTGTTGTGCATAAGGTTGCTATAAGCTGGCACTGATTCAATGACACCTAATAACAACAACAAGAAGTTTCTTTTGAATGGAACAGACAACAATGATAAAAGATTATCATCAGTAATTCATACTCATTGAATTAATTCAATCCGCATGTACAATTTGGGAATGATGATGTAGCTATGATGTCACAGACATTAAGCAGCATAAATTAGCACTACGGGAGTCTGAGAGATACTCCTTAAAACATTTTCAAATAGAATCTGTCTGCAAACAAAACAAAATCAAACATCAGGCACAGTCTTGTTAAATACGAGCTATAACACGGGTAGCTATATGCACACCAATGTTCATAGCAGCACTATTCACAATAGCAAAAAGATGAAGACAGCCAGCCTAAATGCACATCAACTGAAGAATGGATTAACAAATTTTGGTACATATACACAATGGAATATTATGCTACCTTGAAGAACAGCAAGGAAGCTGTAAGTTATCACATAACATGGATGAACCTTGAGGACATTATGTTGAGTGAAATTAGTCAGTCACAAAAGGAGAAATACTGTATAGGACCACTACTGTAAAAGATAAGAAAAAGAACCCATACTAAAGGGGGGGTGGGATTCTTTGCTGGTTACTGGAATGTGGGGAGTGGGGTGATGGGAGGGAGGGGAAGGTGGAGCACAGGGTAGGGAATGGACACAGGATAGTTTGGGTGCTAGGGAAGGGTGCAATACACAAGAAGGGGGAGGGGAATAGAAGAACAAGGTGGATGGGAGAACAGTTAAGCAGGTTTGCATGGGCTAAGTGGGACAGAGGCAAATAATGATG